ACTGGGTAACTTACGGTTATCCGATATGACCAGCTTCCATGCCCCCTTCCTTCCCCACTGGGTAACTTACGGTTATCCGATATCACTAGCTTCCATTCCCCCACAGGATTCTCCCCCCAGCACCTGACGGTGGAAAACGTCCAGCTCTTCAGGCCTTCTGGTGATCTGCGTGGGAAGCAATTAATGAGGATTTCCAATTCACAAAACACAAACAACTTTGCTGAGTGGGAAAGGGTTTCTACAGATTTTTCCAACAGTGGTAATGGATTTCCCAGAGTAAGTGGGAAAAATCTTCAGAGATTATAACAAAGTGGGAAAAGGTTTTAATAGACTTTAACCAAAAAAAAGAAAGATTTTCACACATTCTCAAACAGTCCAGAACACATTTTCACAGATTTTCCTGCCAGTGGAAAAATATTTTCACTCCTTTTCAAACAAGCGGGAAATTATTGTCAAACCTTCTGAAAATGTGAGCATGGATGCGAGATCAACTTTTCTTCACCCAATTCCCCATCCCAATACGGGCGATTCACAATAGAGTGCCACCAAGAGTTTGCAACACGCTGGCCAATCATAACGCGCGAAATTTGTCGACCATTTCCAAACGTGCATTGGGTCGACAAATTTTGCGCATTGTGAGGGGCCAACGCGTTGCAAACTCTTGGTGGCGCTCTATTGTGAAACGGCCGTATTCGCAGTGTGAACATTCCAGTACCATGTACTGTACATGTTACTTACTCGTCCTTCTTCCTTCGAGCGCCGATGACAGACTCCGTTCCGCTTGGGCAGAGGAGGTGGACCTCCAGCATCCCTCGTTTGGAATGGGTCAGCGACACCGTCACCAGGACATGCTCCAGGCTCCTGAGTTCATTCCTCTCAGCTGAGGCGTTGGAAACTGGCGTGAAACGGAGAAATTGACCAACGGGAGAAATTCTCAGCGAGATTAGATAAATGAAACCCCATCAGACAATGCTCAAGAAGGGTACTGAGTACGCCCATACAGGGCTGGATAACGCTGTTGGTAAAGCACTGCTGTGGCATTCCACAGGGAGATGGTTCCAATACCACTTCTGCCGAAAAATGACTCATGAAATTTGAATGAAAAGTTTGTTTAACCATGTGACGCCCACAACGTGGCTGTTTATAGCGTGAGTTTGATGCACCTAGCAGTATGTGACCACCGATTAACACCGAATGAAATTGAATTGTATCATACAACTGCCTACCATCTGGAGTCAACTTCTCACCTGTTTGGGCCACTGTCAGTGTCTTGCCGGCCAGGATGGGTTCATTCTCTGTCATGGTGATGCCTTCGATGGAAGTCAGCCATGGTACAGTGTGCCACGCCTTGGCTGCATTCACCAGTCGCCAGGCACTCATCAGACCAAAGCCGTGCTTGTGTGAGTGGTGAAAGCCCCCGGCGTTGGTTATCCACACGGCGTTCTTCTCATCAATCTGTGGATGTCGACATGCCTAGAGTTAAACACTCCTCCCCTCAAGAAATGGCTGAGTTCGGGCGGCTTGCTCTCGTATGTTCACAAACAGCTCGATTTATTGTTCGTGGGTCATGGTTGTTCGTGCAACCGGTTATCGCTACTAGTTTGTAGCAAGCAAAATGCAACATGGCATCATCCTGGTGCATTCTTCGAGAGTAAATGTTTGCATAACTTCTATTTCTATTTCTAAAAATAAAATTCATTTCTGTCATGGAAAATTAGTAATGTTAATTTTGCAAAACTTTCCATTGTCTCCAGCACTTTCACTATTTGCTAATTTGCCTGGGAAAAGTACCCAATGCGAATACATGTGTAGAACTATTCCACCAATGATTACGTAACCTCTCCTCCCCTAACTTTAAGGGGCCTGTTTGATTTGTGCAGATCCGAATCACTGACGTTGGCTGACACCATATCTCGTGTAATGGATAAAGCGACCCAGCGTTGGGATCACTGATCGAGACCTAAATCCGTGCCAAACAAACGTGCCCCAAACTCACCTTGACAGCCGTGTAGATGATGATGTGCTGTATATCTCTCCAGGTCAGGCAAGGTTTAGCCTGTAACATCAGTCCTATCATGCCAGCTGCTAGTGGAGCAGCCGCCGAGGTCCCTGTGTGGCTGGTTGTACAGCCCGTCCCCTTGGCTAAGGTCCAGTCAGTTGTCACCTGGGTAAAACAGAAATCGATGAGAGAAAAAAATTACCTAACTTATCTTTTTGGGGAGGGCATCACACTAAGTATTTGTGATCATTCCTGCTAACATGTACATCTAAAACATATTTTCAAAGTAATTTTACCGGTACGCTATTGGGGAGACTGGTTATGGGCAAAGGTAAGCTCAACACTTTCCCATTTTCCTTGAACTGAGTTGTACCAAGGGTCCTGCAAACTCTGATTTGGACAACAACGGAAACAAAGACCACTTTGTATGCAATGCTTCAGCAAAGATCTACTGCCGGTATCTCTCATACATGTAATCCACCTTCCACATGAAATGTAGCCCATGTGGAATCTTATCCACCAATCCAGAAGGCAGGTAGACAGGTTGCAAGACCAAACGTTTAGTTTCTTTTGCATTGTGGTGAGATGCTATGAAGTGCTAGATGTTTCCTTTATCCTTTATTACACAGGACTGCTCTCCCATTTTATTAGACTGAAACTCTTCAAGTATCAGGCTCAGTTGTAAGTTGAAATCCTCAGTTTCATCCATGTACATGTGCAAGTACTGAAGCCTGTGCCCAATGCACCTGTAATCTAGCTATTTTTTGCAGTTTATCTTTTACAGTTCACGGCTTTCAATTTCTCAGAGAGTGAAATTATTGATTGGACAACGGACAACTTTTGATTATTTAAGTAAGTCTACTAAACAGAAGTTCGTTGTTCATGCACTCCATCAAACTGCGCAATAGATAACGTCACAGAGAAGTCACGCCTCTTCATTTCCAAGCGTACAATAAGTTAGTAGTATAAATAGAATTGACAATGTACACACGACAGCCTAGACAACTCTGCAGCTGATTCAAAGTTCCTCCTGACTTTTGTCACAGTGTTAACCTCTGTAACCTGTTCCACAACTCAGTTCACAATAGAAAAGCAAAATTAAACGTGGTCTGAAGAACTTTCGTAAAACAGTAACACAGACACCGCATGGATTATCACACTTTATATGTAACTGCTGTTGGAACCAAGTGACTCATTTCAATTTCATTGATTTGTATGTATGCCGTCGGCAGATTCCAAGTCTAAACAATTTCCGGACTGAACAAAAGTTCTCCTTTGCTACACGTCTTTAGAAGGACAGGGTTCAAACAAAAAGAGATGTCAAGGTCTGCGACGCAGTTTCCCCAGAGGTGAATGAACAATGCCAGCAATGACAGGTGCATGTTGTCCTGGAATGTAATGATGATATTGAAGCGCATGTGGTGTTTTGTACATGGAGCAAATTGCCCATAAAAATGTTGGGTTGTCTCGGCCTGCCTCTCTTAAGAAAACGCAAGTGTCAGCAAAGTATTGACTTCATTAAATCACGGGGATAGCGACTGTTGATAAACCCTGACAAATCCACGCTTCTTGGTATTACCAGAATGGACGAGAGCTGCACAGAGGTACCGGTAAATGTAAGCAGACCACACCTGAGATGGAGGTTGCTCAAGTAAACCTTTCCCCCCAAAAAACGATGTAATAGAGGGCACACATGCACCTGTCTGGAAAATCTGAATGTCATACATGTAGTTTGTGTATAGTTTCATTGAAAAAGTATTCCAACATCCAACATGTACATGGCTTGATGACAGCTTGACTTACGATGTTCCGTCTGTTGGTGGCGCCGCTGCTGAAGGTAACGGCGAGCATGGAAGCACACTGCTCTGCATAATAAGGCATCTGGCCTGATTCATCCACAGCACCTGTTCGTATAGAGCACGACACCAGGACAGACACTTAAGGTTACAAATGATAAAAAGTGGTACCAAAATTGATGGTGAACATTTACACTGCAGTGCGTTTTTTACCCTACTGAAATTGGTGTTGATGTTGTACTGACGTCCTAGCAAGTTCATCACGGTATAGACTGTACATGGGGTCACGTGCTAACGTCATACACGTACATGCCATCCTAAATGAACTGAAACAAAGTGACTCATGCTCTTTTGTCATTGCTCATCAATTGCTACTCGTGCCCAGTCTTGTGATTTCTCATTCAACTTGTGACCTAACTGATAACGTACTTGCCATGGACCAGTTTACATGTCTAGCAATCCTGACTGCTAATACATACCCTGTGCATGTACGCTAACACTTAGCAGGATTATATTGTTACTCAAGGGGATGAAAGAATTTCAGGCACTGCACAGAACAGCTAATGTTCCCCACAATTCAATGCATGGTAAGCGCTATCATTCTGGCATGCACTGTACGTGTACATGTACCAGTATGCAAGTTGAGGACCTGCATGTACAATTTACTGGTATGTCTCCACACTCTCCTGTAAAGAGGCAATATTCAATAAGGTTAATGGAATGTGCATTAGCTCCACAGCAAGGATTTTCCCACCACATGACAAATTTTATCGAGGTCTGGGACAATAATGCAGGGCACCGGTATACGTAGCTGTGATGTGCCGTAGTTTCAGGTCACAGAGGTAATGATAAGATATTTCAACACTACAGGGGGTTTACATGGCTGCCATATTGCAGGCCAGTGCTTTTGTTCCACAAGGTATGGACAAAGATTCCCCTGTGGAACAAATGAACTGCCCTCCAAGATGGCTACCGCGCAAAACCCCTATAACTTCCCACAGGTACAGTTACATAACATCGGAGTTATTAAGGTGTGACTAAAACAGACACTGCACATGTAAGACTGTACAAGTTTGGTTCAATGAGGTCCCTATGCATGCAAGCTGTTGAATTCCAGATGTACAGTACATGTAGCTTCATTTGTACTGCTACATACACATGTACTTGGAAGTTCATGAGTCAAAAGGATTACACCACCAGGGCTAACTGGCTGGGGAGGGAAGGAAAAAAAACTAGCCTATGGCTGACCTATCGTTACGGTGTACATGGAGTTTGCATAGCCATCATAGTTACAGTTGTCCTCGTTGCGTCCACCGTTGCCACTAGCAACCACAAAGATGCTACCGAGGCCTCTGCGTCCAGCTGTGACACCATGCTTCAGAGCAGCCTGACACAAATCCAAATTTATACATCAGTCTCATTAAAAGTCACACTTTTCAGGTACCAGTACCAAAAAAAAGGAACTTTATCCCAAACGGGTGCGAAGCCGTTTGCTTTATATGTATATGTAGCCAGTTAATGTCGGGTTTTCTAACCCGAAAAAGCTGCTGAGGGCAGGTTGTTTTTCCAGCAAATTCTTCAACCTTGCAATTGCACTTCAACCCAACCAAGCACGACACATTCTAAAAAAAGAATTCCTAAGTGAGAGTGCACATCCTCCGTGGAACAAATCAGGAAAATTATGCGTGTTTACACGTCATCCGGCCTCAAGTGGTTGAAACATCAACCTCGTCAGCAGGGAAGTTGATGTTGTGTGATACACTGCCACAATGTCATTGAATGGAGACCGTTTAACCTGTTAAATAAACCCCGAGGTTGCAAATCTGCAACCTTCCAACATTTATTGGGCCCAGCAACATTGGTTCAACTGACCTGTGCCAGAGGGTGAGGGCCGTCCACCGTCTTGCCATCATCGTCCGGACCCCAGCTAGAGAATAAAAAGAATAAACAGTCACATTTCATTAAGAAGAGGTTCTTTCATTTCTGCAGATCACCTTGTTATCATAGGAACCATGTGCATCAGGAATGACAACGATGAAGGACCAAGGATTGGCAACTAAAAATATCATGGTTATAAGTAGAACGCTGTGTTAACAGTGCTTTTCAGAAAGAATTTGGACTGTGGCAGGGCACCCATGCAATCCTACATGTAAATCCAATGCAGAAAGCCAGAGTGAAGCCAGAGAGCTAGTTTGAATCACTAGGGCGTCAACTTCTCATCCTCCGCGTGGAGAAACAATTTGACGCCGACCTGGGCACAGACATTTTGAATCCATGCGCATGCTTGTGCAGATGCTCAATATCGGATAGAATGAATATCCAATTATGTACTCTCAATGCAACGTGCATAGGGCACCGATAAAATCTGATTTCCCAAACGTCACTGCAAAATAATCTACAGTGCATACACACACACGCAATGAAATGCTCATTTACTGATCATGCGTTTAGGTTCTTTACATATCAACTTTGTTGAATCATTTTAGAGTACAGATGCGCATATGCAAATAGCCATACAAAAGCCGTACAAAATTTTAAGTTTTCCATAGGTTTGTGCACAAACCTGGATGTACATGTACACCCACACCCACATGTACATGTACCTGTAGGCATCACTTTGCACCGGTGCATGAGTCAGCAATCTAGTTTTTATATACATGTACATGTATGCATGTACGGTAGTTCTATGAGAAACACTGACGGTTGTTTCAAAAAATCAAACAGTGACTGGAGCTTCCATCCAGCATTCACTTGAAACAAAAACTCACCAATTTCTGTAATTTTTGGAAGCGCAATTTGAATCAATTTGTGTGTGTGAGCCCGAGGTGCGGATTCCATTTAAATGTACCAGAATTCTGAACACATACATGTACATGTATGCTCGGTGCAGCACAGCTGAAAAGATGATTAGATGATTACCGACTTGAAAAGTGGCAGTATCTCTGATCATCGAACCGACCCCCCCAAAAATCACTTCTATCCACAACTCGAGGTCAGCAGCCCTTTCAAAGTCCCCAGACTGAAAAACAAGGGCTGGGATCCATTTCGTTTTTTTCCATTGTTACTGCCAAAAATTGAAATGTTATGTTGGTTTACACCACATGTGGGTCTGAATTATGCACGTGTTAAACCTCAAACGTCATGCATTAAGAATGCCTTGCCTTCTGGCGCTCACCTGCAGCTGTAGATGTCATTAATATGCATGTTTTTGTTGAATGCAGTTGCCTCTAGACTGTCTGTCATTGGTCCATCCAAAAGCCTGATACCTGCATTCAGAAATAATGCATGAAAAAATACAATCAATTTACACTGCTCATCGCTAACGTCGAACACTAACCCTCGAAGGTGTGTGTAAAATCATACGAAATCAGAGGATTTGAGAATGTTAGGGTAAAAAAAACTGTTTACGCATGGTCTGTCAATATTTATGACACTTTGTAATTGATTTCCCTTTGCCATTAAAATTGTCAATATATGTGTACATTTTGTAGCATGTCTCAAACAAATTCAATTGACAATTTCAAAATACATGTATACATGTACATACACTGTACATGTACAAGTGAAAATGCTGCAAAGGAGTCAAACGTCAAGCAAGTTTCATGACTGGACTGCAATTTACAAGGTTCAACAGCAAACCTAAATACTGAGAGACGGCTAATTCCACTTGTAAATGAAAATAACATGTGCGGCACAGTACGTGTCCATGTATGTGTACATTTGTAGTCTGTACTTGTTTTGTACCACAACATGACAGCTACAACAAAGGCCTTATAGCATGGCATATCGGTACAGTTTTTTCTCTGTACATGTCCTCTTGCAAGGCAATTTTCATCCAGCCCTCCTACAAAGGAATTGTTGAAGACAAACGCAGGCAGGGCATTTCAAAACTCATGGGATTTGTGATGAGGGTACAAGACAATGGACCTCTATACTGATGCCACACTTACATGTACATGTACATGGGCAGTTGTACATGTACAATGTACATGTTTATGACAGTATGTATGTACATGTATGTTTTTCATTGGTACCCACCACTGTCCACTGAGTATGCATACCTGCCGGAACACACAACATACCAGTACATGTATGTATTGACAGTGTGGTATCAACAGTATCCCTGGTATATGTACATGTACTTCAACATGGGTTCTTGCTCTACGGTATATATGTTTGTACAGGTACAGTACATGTACATGGGCCTGTCATATCTAGTGCAGGTCAAATGTGCAACAGATCAAATTTCACAGAACTGAACATGACTGTTCATGTACATTGTAAGTACATGTCAATTCTATGGCTAGCCCCAGAATTTGACATTCAATTGCAGGACAAAGATACCGGTACTTCGTCAGTTGGAAACTCCACATGTACAGTACATGTCTGTGTTCATGCATGTACTGTATACAGGATCATACCCCAAAGGTAATAAACAGAAGCAAAAGTTTCACTTAATGTGAACTTACATGGCCTCTGATCAGACATGTACAACATCTTACCAAGACAGTTTTTCCCCTAGGGTCAGGAACTTCACTTCAGGAATTGTGTCTTTGTTGATTTAACACTTTGTGGTTACATCCTCAATGTATTACAATGTAACTCATTCTGCTTTGAAAGGTCCAAACCAATACCAAGCATTAGCCACAGAAATTCAATAACAGTAAATGTATGTCCTGTATTACATCATGTACATGGCGAATACATTTTGAGGAAAATACTTTAAAAAGAGAGAAAAAATCTTACTTTTTATGATACAAAATTACATTCTATCTGGACAGATTTCAAGGTATTGTACATGTATATGTAATTCAAAACTCCTGAAAGTACCGTACAGGTAGCGGATGTGTTCAGAAAAATATTAAATTCTTCCTAGAATATGGAGAGTCGTAGAGTTTTAATGAATAAAAGTCGTGAACATGGAGAATGTGAAAGTCGGCATTCTTTGTAATGATTACCCACTGACGCAAGGTTTCTTGAAATAACTTACACATACATGTACATGTATACTGGTGCCATGCAACTGTCACAATTATACATGTACAGTATGCATTTTAATGACATGTACATGTATCTAATGACTGGGGTCCACAAAGAAGATACATGGAGCTGCATCAGATGAAATTAAGAATTGAGCATGTACACGTACGTGCACATGTAAGCAGTCACTAAGCTTTGTAAACTTTAATTCTAACACTAGTTTCTCACAATTAGAATAATATTGATCTAGCAAATCCTCCTATCTTTTGTGCTTTGATTAACCCCTTGACGACAGGAATTTTCTTCCCGAAAGCCAACTCCAAGAATTCCAGCCTCGCTTGGCCACGAAGGCAACCTGCCAAACCGCAAATTCTCGGTTTGTGGCCCTGCGTGCTGTGCACGCTTTGAATTACACGGTGAAAAGGATGATTGTTCTGTGGCATGCGGCTCTACTCACCCTTCCACATTCCCGTTGCCTCTTTTCAAAGTGGGGACTATTGTGAAGCTGGTGATTATGATGCAAATTCGGTCTTTTAATTTCTGGGCTACACACAAAGGCCAATTACCATATATACAAGAGCCAGGGTCTGCCTTCTTTCACCGTGTTCGCTCGAGCGTGGGCCGAGAATAATAGCTAAAAGCAGGCTGAGGATCTCAATTTTAATGGCGTGCCTAGCCGCCTCCCGGCGCAAAGGGGTTAAACACCAAGTTTTGACTGGTAGAAGCATTTGGTCTCCCTGCCCCCTACACGAACATGTATTCAGTAAATATAATCTTCACCAACTCCATGTTTTTGCACATGTATATTATTCACAAATACCCAAGAAATATTAGATTTTAAAAGTGCATGTAGGCCCTAATATTACAAGTAATGGCCAATGAATTGTTTCAAATGTTTGTAGTTGCGAACAAAATGTTGTATGTTGTAGGTGTCACAAAGCATCTTTCAAAACCCATCTCTTGTGCAAAGTTAAAGGTCGAGGGTCACCGTCATTGGTGGTTGGCACAACCCACGATGTTTGGGGTTCACTGCTTACGGGTAATTCCCCTGCCTATAAGGAATCCCTATTGCTACCGTATGTCTATGATAATAATTTCTTCAGAGGAAATTTCTTCAAAATAAACCAACACACTGGAAGTCAAAAGAAAACTCAGTGTTGTCTAATATTATCTAATCATGTCAATGAAAACTACTTCACGTACATGTACAGGTCTACCATCTTATCATGAGAAAAAAGCTCTCTTGCAATGTACCAATAGACATTGTACATGTGCATACGGTAATCCTGTTTAGGTCGACCTAAACAGGGGTACCATATATGAACTACATTGTACATGTACATGTACACCTACATGCATACCTGTACATACATGTACCAGTATGTACCTGTAGGATACAGCACACACTACATGTACATGTACTGTCCATGCACCCAAACTGTAATGAGTTCCACAGCTTGGGAGGTCATATTTGTGTTGTGGACAATTTCACACCTCTATACACACTAACACTGTATAAACTCAAGCAGGTGCGGGAATCACAATATATGCATATATTAAATTAAACGGGCCGACAGGAAAACACATGCAGGAGGAATTATTCATGAAATAATAGAGGCAATGGGGAGAATGGGGAAAGGGTTGAGTAGTTGGTGTCACAATGAACAGCCTTCCAATCTGTTGCCACCTGCACACCTGAGTCAAAGGAACTCGTTCAATCAGTCTGCAGTTTTCCAAAATGTGTGCAGTGTATCAAACTTTAAAGGACATTATTGGAAGCGTACTGTAAGAACAGGTGCTCACTGCCTTGAGTGCGGTATGCCTACGTATGTACCGGTACATGCACATTTACATGTATGTACAGTATTTGAGGTCAGAGTACCACACTGCATGCACTGTGCATAGAGGTTTTTACGTGACATCACAGGACGGGCAAAATTTCATTTCAGGAAGCGTTACCATGTCCGTAGAGGAGTGTGCATTTTCAAATCTGGGTATTTCTATTGGTAATTTCACGTACGCAAGAATGTTACTTGAATGCAGGGGCACATGCATGCGTTTCCATGCACATCTGAGTAAATTGAATGCCGACCGTCAAAAACCACCTAACTGAAAGTCCTGTATTGCGTACAGGGGGGGTACCGGTCGTGGGAAGAAAAGGTATAAAAGTACACTATAGATTGAATCTGTGTACGGCAAAAGAACCAGACAACTGGACAGATTGTACAATCATATCCCTCCCATGAAAATGGTCAGAGCCCCATTTTGGAGGATACAACCTTTTATGTGATTGTCATGCTAACCAAAAGACAGGTGAATACCATTCAAAATCACATGGAGTTCTGGCGGGTAACAAGATTTGTAAAGCAAGGTTTTTTCATGCTTAAGCAAATTTTGTGCCTGAGCAGCTCTATGAAATCGGCCCTGGGTGCCGGTACATGTACATATACTGTATGTTTAAATGTACATGTACACTGTACGGTAGCATGTCCAGTTTACATGATATACAAATATGTATTGGTGAGTCAGGGAAGTTTAACCAACATTTTCCTTCACTTGTTGACCTGGGGATTAAAGGAAAATCTTTTTTACACTTCAAAGGTGTCATACTTAAACAAACAAGATCGCTCATGGTAAATTCCTTTTCCTCCAATGGGCCATAGCTCATGAAATGAACGCTTTACCGGAGGAAGAGAGACTCAACTTCGGATAACGTACAATGTAGACGTTGCTGTGGAATTACACGTAACAAGGCATATCCTGGGGAGGGGGACAGTTACACGTACAAATGTACATGTACGCATCTCTGAATATCACGCAAACGGCAGAGTGAAGAGTAATTCCTCGGTGTCTTGCAGATGCCTTGTTTTGTTGACAGACCCATTTTTTTCAATACAGGAATTCTGGCCAAGACACAAGCTCGCCAAACAACCTGACAAATTGAGCCAATCATAAGCTGCAACTTATGTACATTTTGGTCAATGCTCAATTGTAGTGGGCTAAGGTGTAGACTTGGGTTGGGGTGGTCATCTTTTGTGAGGGGTATGACTTTCATAGAGAAAATTAACCAGAAGTCTGCATGCTTCGCACTTTGGCTAGATATGTACATGTACCTGCATTTTTAGGCAAGTTTTCTGTCCTAACTCAACGAGGCGGCTGGCAAACATACCAGACCCTTCTCAGCAAAGACCCAATGTCATGAATGTGGAATCTGGACAGGAATTTCCGAAGACTTCCAATGCAAAGTCCACCTGATTTTGCGCTACACACAATATAAAGTACATGCACTGGTATGAAGGTGTCTTTAATTAAAAAAACAGAGAGAGAATTCAATTTGGCTTGTGCCTGCCGGAAAAAAATGAAGCCAGCTTTATGACCTGCCATACAATGTAAATGTACCGGTTCCTGCTCTTTTCAGAGCCAAGCATGTTCAGAAAGAGATATCCTTGCATGGCACTACAGCTAAATTGCATGTACCTGTGGTTTTGCAAGGCTTCATGATCTCTGGCAGGTATTGAACATGTCGTGCATCGTTTAGTACGCACTAGTTTGAATTATCAACTTGTTCAAACGTTTCACAGATTCTACAGCTCATGAACACTTTTTCGTAGGCATGACAGGGAAAGCAATAACTTTAACTTGGGCGTTTGTACTGTACTAAAAGGTTAGTACCATAAAGGCACTGCACTACATGTACATGTACACGCATGTTTGTCCTTTCTGACCTGTATTCCGCCCATGGCTGATGGTGTATGCAAGGCAGCATGTCCAGTCCATGGGTCCCCAGGGGGAGGTGCTCCCCTCACTGCCTCCCCACCCCCCCAAAAATATATATATCAAATAGGGGATTTGACAAAAAAGGGAGGGAATAAAAATCACCACTCTGCTTGAAACAACCTCAGAATCCACCCCCCCCCCCCGTTCCCTTAATGGCTTGAATACAAGTAGGCTTCCGATTTCGAGTGACCCCACCTGGACAAAAAAATCCCACTGATGCCCAGCACACCGCCTTTTAAGTCGACTGCCAGGCAGGCCTGTTTTACACGTACATCGGTGTAATAAATGTAATAGAGTCCCCGTTCTTCATGCCAGGACTGCAACAGGTATGAACCTCGTAGGAATGGGGTGCACTGGATGTCAGCACATAAAAGTACACGTAGTGGCGTTTGACACAAACTACGCGGACAGGTAGCGGCACATGTACAACAACCCTGCCTGGATACGGTGTTGAGGAACCGCTATTTTTAGCACTGGGAAAACACTCTGCAGCAGGTCTCAGGATTTCCTGTCATGGACATGCAAACCTGAATGCCGTGGTATTTAGATGCACTGGCTCAGCAGTTTATATATTTTTTTTTTGTGCAGGTAGACTGTGCAGAAAGGTTAATGAACCAACAAGATACGCGTACGCATTCAAATTTGGTGCCCAGGAGTTGTGATTGTTTTTTCAATTTTACCATTTCTCAGCAGTAAATTCATGAAATCTGTGGCATTTTCTAGCACACTGGGGCTTTTCTGTCACTGTCCTTTCTGTTTTGGTCTCTTTCCTTCATCTTTTCACTTTCCTTTTTTCAATAAAACTCCATTTTTACAGCAGAGGGCAAATAATCTCTCTTCCCCACCTTGCCTATGCCCGTAGAAACTACGCTCGGCTTTGCCATTAACCCTAACCCCCTAAGGTATATGTAAAATCATATTGAAATCGGAGGATGTGGGACTGTTAGGGTTAAATAAAACAATTTTTTTTCATTAATCCGTGAAGCTGGACTCGATGTACTGTGTGTACACATACCATACTCCTCCTGTCAGTCTGACTGCAGCATTACCATGACGACAGTCAGGTCGATGTAGTGATTCTTTTCTCCCCCCTACCTCTGCGGTCCGAGTTCCATTCCCAGCTTGATTCACAAGTGGATTGGAGTTTTCAGTCCCTGCCTGATTCAGTGGGTTTTACCCAGAATATGTTTTTTCTTGTGGGGTTTTCCTCCCACCTCTAGAACTGTAAATGCTTCTCACCTTCTCCTCTCTACAGATGTGGGCTGCTTGGCGGCTGCCCCAGGCGCCCTTGTAAGCTTTCCACTCAGGTTGTAAATCTGAGGGCCTCTATGGAAAGCAGTGCCGTTAACTGATCGGAGCTTACCCTCATTAATTAAAGATGACATACATAAAATCAAAACAAAATCGGCTACTTACCAGAGATCTGTGCGTTGAAGGCCACGCCGACGGCACACTTGTCATTGGCGACAGCAGCAATTTCTCCTGCACAGCGGGTGCCATGGCGGTTGAGAGACTTCCCATCATCTTTGTGAACCTCCGGCATGGGGTCCGGATCATTGTTGTTGAGGTCCCAGCTGCCTTTCGCATTCTGCACAAAAAATAAAAACAATAACAAACCTTTAACAGACAGAAACGAACGCAGGTAATGAGGCAGTTTTTGTCACTAAAAGTTACATGTACAGTGTACATGTAGGCCAAACAAAAGAAAAAGTTGTGAAAATAGGTTGGGTGGGTGGTATCTTTTGTTTTGTTTTTTTAATCCTCGTGTCAAAAATTTTAGGATGGGATTTTTTTTTATTTAAAAGTGATTTTAATGGTCTATGGAACATGTATATTTCATCCACTGTTTTTTTTCCGCGGACTCGTAACTCCAGGATCGGTCTTGTCAAAGATTGTATCCTAATCAGAGCCTCTTTGGACAATTATACATTGGTGTTGCACCGACGTCTTGATGAGTTGATGTCCAAAAATTGTTTGAAAGCTCACTTCAAACCTGCGCGATAAGGCATGACACAATAACTCTGCATGCCCTGCAGAAATCTGGTCTGTCGACGGTCAGAAAGTAGAAAATGAAATTCGGCATACTCAACAAATAAGCGGAGATTACACACCTCTGAAATAGGCACGAGGGTCAGCAACAGTAAACAGTAATCTTTATTTCTTTTTCAATAGAAAGATTTAAGGTTGGCAGGATTTGCTAGGTTGGGGCGGGTAACTGGACGCACAACTATTATTTGGTTGGGCCTTATTTGTAATTACCAGTTGTTAAACGATACACAGTTTAAGGAGTACCAGTCTTTACACGTAGAGAAGTAATGGCTACTAAAAGTAATATACACCATTTCATCGGTACTTTGGTTTTAATTTTAGTGCCAAACTACATCCGTGTCTGTATCATTACAAGACTTTTTCACATCTTTCCATTTCACCCATAGTTCTTTAATTTGCAGAGCATGGTATCTAATGTACCTGTAGGCCCTAATTTATGCTGCCTTCTGGTTTATGTACATGTAAATGTCTAGCAAACTAGGAAATTATTAAAGAAAATAATAACAATTTAGATACCATAATTTTCCTTATTGGTAAAGAAAAAACTTGGCTAAAATATAGAGCTGAATGTACATCTACACGGGTGTATCACAAAAAAGGGAACAAATTATTAAAAAACTCAATTTAGGGCAGACCATTCCCGCCGAATGACTGACTGTATTTCTGGTGATTATGCTTTCATATTGCTGCAAATAAATGCAGAAGTGCATGTGAATTTGTGCATGGCATTTGTGAGGGTTTGCGGCTGGAATTACGTTGCATGTATATGTACTTGTATGTACTGCCACACATATACGTCAAACAATCTTTCCGATCCAAATCCCAAGACGTGTAACCTACATGTGCATGTATTATGCAAAAACTGAAGGGCTTTTCTGGTTTCAGACAAGCAGAAGGTTACTATAGACTGTGTGTACTAGTTCTGTGATGAGTCTTGCGCTGACAAAAACTTGCCAACCACAAGGATGACTCATGTCTTAGTCACTCAGTGCAACTCAGAATGGAGGACTCACATAGTTGGCTAAAATGTCTTCATTTCTCCACTCCAGACCTGCAGGAAGATAATTACACAGAGACAAATTGATCAGAAGCATGAAACCATTAAAGATTCTGGCACATTTTCTCAAAGAAGAGAAGCAATTACTGAAGAGCCTGCAGGTACCTGTATATTTTTTTTCAAAATAATTGGCAGCAAAATAGGTGTACAGTACTCTGTGTTGAGTTCAGCTGACAAATTCATAGCATGTGTCTAATGTTCGTTCCAGTGTGGGAGTGTGGTCGTTTGTACGGAGCTGCACAAGAATGTTTTCAATCCTCAGGAATTCTTGGCTCTCTCTGCTAATACACGGACAAAAGAGGTCTTCCGAATCTTGTTTTTGTCTGCATGTTTGGTTTCGGGCTTCAGCTTTGTCAATTTAATTCCCTGAATTGTGACCTTCAAGCTCAATCCAGATCTTTCCAACTGCTAAGGAAAATACCATGTGCATGTACAATGTATGAAAAGCTAAAGTTTGGTTTTGGTACTTTCATTTGGATCCAACTTACACATCTGTGATCCTGCCTAACAAATTGTGTCACAAGCTGCCACTGCCAATTTTGAGCGAGAAACTTTTAAGGGAACCTTGCATTTAAAATCAGACTTGGTCACACTTGGGGGTGACCACAATGACTATAAATTTAGAAATGAAGCTGAAGATACTGTACATGTGTACATACAAATTTGACATGTTCGACATAAGAAGAAAGATCCAGGCTTTGGTAAATCCTGTCAACACAAAATCCCACACATGCAACATACATGTACATGTACTGTACGTGCAGTGCATGTCTGTAAACAGAAGTAACGTGCCCTTTGGAACTGTCCAACCAAGCTGAATACCAGACAAGTCATGTGCAAAACATCTGAGGAGAGATGGTACAGTGCAGCTGGTTCAAGCTACCGGTACATCCAAGATGAGTTAGCATCTTTCAACACCAAGATTTTAGACAGCAACTTATGTACATATTGTAGCACCGGCGGGTCCGGCCAGTGGGGGTGCCGGTCTGACCCGCATGGAGTTGGCTGGCTGCCCCCGCTGGTATGCGAACGGCCTGCGGTTTTCCCGCCTCGCGCCTGCGCAGTCCCTGCCGAGGGGCGCCATGTTTAGAGCTTGTCTGAAAAACACATTGTTGTGGACGCTACAGCAATAAAACAGAGATTTCGTGACCAGAACAGCCAGTTGCGGCTGTGTGTGAATCTATACTAGCGTCGAACCCTGATCCGTAGGACACGCTGCAATATTTACCTGACAACGTGCACATGATATCGTACATGCACCGGTACATGTATATTGGTGAAGGGAGTGCAAAAAACCTGTGTTGAAAAATCCTACATGTGCACATACATGTATACTCAGTCATATACTTGGGACATGCGCGCAAAAGTTGGGCTTACCATCGTCAATAACAGCAACCACCACTCCAGTGCCTGTTATGTTGTGATTCCAGACTTCAGTCACATTAATGTCCATACCCGGGGTTTTATGATTATGCTGCAAATAAAACAGACATATATACATGTATTTTGTTACGAAAACCTTATCAATCTTGATCCTCTCGCATAATGGAACTACATGTACATGTATGTGCCCCGAGCTGATGTGCACCCCCAATCGGCGAAAGAAAGACAGGTGGCCACAAGTGGGTTCTTGCATGCATTCTGCGTGTACGCAAAGACCATACAAGCCAGAATGCATGTAAGTTACATGTAGTCACGCATACTCGGCGTGCTCTGTGTCAAACGTGCATACGGTACATGTATACTTGCGCGCCTCATGGCACTCCCATGCGGTGAGTACCCAAAAAAATCCGCCTCTTTTGTTCCGCTCGGGGGGATACAGTACATATATGTACAGTGTCCATGTACATGTACCGGTATGTACCAAAAAACAAAAATCATGTACAAAAAAAAAATCTGCATGATGAATACTGATGTACATGCAGCCAGTATTTACTGGTATCTTAAAGATTAACGTCCAATATTATTGTGTATTTTCTTTAAGTCATCAGAAAAACCCTCATTTCACTGCCTTTAGGGCGCAACAAAGCCAGCTTAAATACAGGTATCTTTGTGCATGCCTGTTGTGCAGTTCCATGTTATGGCATCAAACTACCAGTAACACAAACACAAAATTTGGCTTTGCATGTTTCCAAAATCAGCCCGGTTGGTTGAGGAAAGAATAAATTTAAATGCCTCTTATTTCTCTCATCTAGATTTTCGGCCGACCAATTCATTGTACTGATACTGAACATGTATAATGGTTTTGGGGCGGCCTGTCTATCATACACGTAATTCTCCAAAACCCTACACGTACAGAGATGCCAAAACATTTGAAGCCTCTTGAGTACCTCTTTGACAAATACAATTGAGAAATGTAGCATACCGGTAGTAGTAGTTTGCTACCATACATGTACATGTGTACACGTATGTGTACACATGTACATGTATGTGTGTGGGTGCACCAGTACGGTACATGTGCATACTGTATGTACATGTACATTGTAGATTTAGTAGTTGGGGCCTGATACATGTAGGTTAGCCATACGGCAATTCCTCCAACAACAGATTGCCACTGGCCAGAGAAAACTTTTAATGGAATCAATGAACTGTGTCACAATTGTACACAAACTCTGTACACACACTCTGTACATGTATGTACAATGTACCAGTAGGTCTCACAGCAAAGGCTGGAGGTTGTTCATTTACAACTGCCACATTACGTGTACAAAGCAGCTGTGAATACAAATTCAAAGCAGCTGGCACTGCATACCATCCACAGCCTTTGTTTCTTAGTTTCTGTTTTTTTCCATACATCTATGTGCATATGGTACAGTAAAGTATATGGGAACATGTACCATGTACACCGTTAGAAAACATCAGAAAAGCGGCCACTATAAAATTTCAGCAGAATTGTGAAGTCCTCGAAATTCCCAAATTTTGACATACTGGCCAGACTGGATGTCTTTCTTTTTTACATGTACATTCACCAACTGACCAGTGAAATAAGAAACATGTATTACACGATAAAACAGACAATGACAAACAGACATACATGTACCGCATGATTTGTGGGGTGTGAATGGTACATGTACAGTAGGCCTACCGGTACTTAAGGTACATTTACAAGTCGAAGCAGTCCCTCTGGACTTATTTCCTTCATTTCTAATACGTGAGTAGAGCAAATGTAAACGGCACCCAACAGAAACGTGACTGTCTTGTCCCCAGAGTGCCGCACCACTTGCATGCATTACATGGCCCACAGGCAAGCCAACCATTGGCCTGGGCTACAGCAAGTAGGCTGCGCGGAGGCCCATCGCAGCATCTGTGACTGATTTCATCCTTCATGTACATGTACATGTGCTGGTAATTGGCAGGGAGTGAAAGCCACAGGGAAATTTTATAGCACGAGAATCAACACTGTAAAAGCCGTTGCCTATATTCCGAAAATTGCAGTACAGTGAATTATAAGTACATGTACCGGTACCATACTGGGTACTGTTGGACATTGGACATTTCAGAACACTTCTCCTTAATCCCCCAAAGGGTTGCTGGCCCTAACCTTCCCCATTCACACTATGGGACTTTGTGCACAGAGGCTGTTGGGCTTTGTTTTTCTGAGGTATGCCAAACCCAATGCAAAAGCCAGCTGTCTGGGCCTACCAGACCTATCCCCACTGAATTAAACACACTGTTTAATTCTGTGTGGTTGGGGAAGGTTTGGGTTAATGTGCCTTTACAGTATACATGTATTTGTCCCATGCAGAAAGCAGATGAACAAAACAAATCGTATCAAGCACAAAGCCTTCATACAAACATTTGCCATCTGCCAAACCTGCAATAATTGCACATTCCATGGGGGTCTGGAGGTACTGTAGGTTTTCGACGACTACACTCACATCTTCAAATCAGCCCCCTTCAAATTCTGGCCTACGTGTATGATTCAAGCAAGCGACACCGTGTCTGTCAGCATTCCCTCTGAATGAATCAAACAACCCCCACCACAAACAATACCGGTCCCTCTTACCAAATGCCATTGCATGGGATATGAAGGATCCGTGAAATGTAAGCTACGCTTTGTCCGTCGCCGAATCTGCTGTTGGTGAAACCACTCCACGTCGGGATGCCTCCTCAACTTGTTCTCGGTCGCCTCTTGGATCCGTCTCAATTCTTGGTCGTCCGTACCATTCAGTGAGGCATTGTAGCTGGTGTGCACAAAGAGGTAGTGGTTAAGTAACTCGCCAACCTGGCCATCGTTAAGTAGGTCGACCTCTTTGGCTATCCGATGAGCATTCTCGTCGTAGTCTGTCCTATGGGCGGTCTTCCTATGGGGGGCGGTCCGGAATTTGACCGCCCATGACAGCGTGGCCTGCATGTCCGAGGCGGTGGTGGACTCGGTGTCATCTTGATTGGTGGCGTACTCCTGCCGGTGGATGTACATGCTATACAGGGGCAATGGGTACATGACCCAGAAGGCGATGAGAACTGGCAAGTGTAGGTGGCGCGTGACGACCTCCTGGCCTGAGGCCAGGGGGCATCTATCCATCAACATGGCTGTGAAGAAACTGACGTCCAAGCGTCGAGTAGGTGCATCAACATGGAGCCTGCATACCCATGATGCCGAGGGCAACTTGGGTGCTTGATGCGCAGATGGGCTTGCACCGCTGTCCTTGCTTCTGAAGTTGTAGGAATACCCTCCTGGCTCATGTGCCCACACTCCTGTACGTTCAAGAGACAAAAAACAGAATCATCCACATGTTCCTGTATCATGTAAATTTCCACCATAACAATTCACACATGTTTATACATGTAATTACAAACCGGCACAGGCATCCTACTCAGATTATTCCACTGATCTCTACTGAAAGGTGAGCAAACCAACCCACCACCAGACACATGGGTGTATACATGTACATGTCCTGTATTGTTCATTGAGGCCCAGCTCAAGTGTTTTGCCTTTCGCAGAAATTATGCATCTATAGCATTGGCACCGTTCAAGGGATTTTGTACAACGATAAAACTTGTGACCGTACTCCAGTATCAATTCGGTCGCGTGTGAAAGGACGTTTTCAAACTGTTCCCATTTCAACATGAATCACTCTCCTGGACTGAAATTTCGACCGAATGTCCCTTAAATGAAACACTTCAATTCTTGCACATTAAAAATTTCTCCATCTCCAATTGGAGTAATTTCCAAATATCAGTTTTGTGAAATCCTTGTGAAAACCTACATGTACTGCATCTCCACAAGGCACCATACATGTATTTCAAAATTTGTACAGGTAAGTTTAAACATGTTGAAGCAGTGAATCTGCTTGCCCTGACGAAGGTACCCAGTCAGCCAAAGTGTGGCAATAAGATAAATTAAGAGCACTGACTGTACATCGTTTTGTTAATATTCTGATCACAGTGCTACACAGCCCTTTCATGTTTCTTCGAAGCAGTGTATGCTTGGAATAATGATTGGGGTATACATCCTGAAACAGAAGTGTGTCACTCAGTTAGCTTCGGATAAAATCAAGGGCTAATTGCTTTGTACTGGGGCATGTACCGTGTACGTGTACCCAACTGACCAATACACTTATAGCGGTACATGTACATGTAGGTCCAATTAATGTTTCAGCCATCACTGCAAGTACCACTCAGGCTTCCTGATAATGCCTGAGCATACAAATACTGTGCGATTTTTTTTTCTCAGAACCTTTTCTCAGAATTGATTTCAAAAGAGCAGATTCGGGATTCAAAATTTGAACATGAAAACATGCAAACTACATGTACACGTAATGTCCCCCCTTGATTGACATGTAAAAATCACTCAAACAGCGCCCTCACCTGTCTGGAAAGCTTGTTCAATTTGGAATGTTTGAAGAAGTGCACGTTACAGTTCTTTTCACTCCAAAAAGATTTGAAACAGATTTCACTCACTGAAAAAGAGTTTGAACACGTGCATAAAAATAATTCTAACAAAAATGTGCTGTACTGTACTGTACATCATGTGTACACATTCAATTGTACATGTATCCTTTAAATGCTGGATTTGTATGGTTGCATGGTGAACACCGAGTACTGTATACATGTACATGTACATGCACACTGTACGCCTTGTACACGAACTCCCCCCTCCTCTCCCCCTTCCCCGCCCCCCATACCAATGTACGTGTAGCACTTGAGTTACAGGTACTGA